AAATATATATAAGTATAAATATAATATATAAATTATATTATATATATTTAAATTTTATATATATATATTGACTCATATAAACATATATATATATAATATGTATACAATATATATATATATGATTTTCCTGCGTAATATGGAAATATATTAATTATTCCTTTAATATGTACCACAGGATCATAGACCATTTTATTATATATACATGTTCTATATCAACTTAAGGTATATATATATAAATATATATATATATATAGAGGGCCAACATTTATCCATTGATGATAATTATTTTATATATGAATTTAAATATGGGTCGCCTTTTGTATAAATATATAAAACCAAGATCCCCCTATATATTTTATAGAAGATAATTGGGTGAATTATAATAAAAGTTTTGAAAATTTTAAACTATATTTTATATATATTTTAATTTAAACCTAAAAATTATTTTTTCAAAAATGGCAAATAATATATAATCTTATGGAAATTTACTGAATAAAAATAATCATACAAAGGTTTTAAATTTTTGAATTATTTTTGGTTTTTTTAAAGAATTTTAAAATTTTGACTTTTGTAAAAGAAGTATTTCAATTTATTAATGGTTAGGAAATGATGTCAAATGAATTCTCAATATTTTCTCCAGACATTAATAATTTGCAGTATATAAATACTGCATAAATTATATAAAATAAATAAATACAAATTCGAATATACTTCTTGTATGCTACAAAATATATAAAAACAGGCTGAAAATATAAAATGATTTACCATAATTATATATATATATATTTAAATATATATTTTTGAATAGAATAATTATAAATTGAAAATAAATAATATTTATTTATATAATAAAATATATAGGCATGAGAAAAAATAAAAAAACATTGATCACTTTTTCGAAAAAAGTTTTTTTCTTTCTTTAAAGCCATTGGTGGAAATGTCCATTTAATAAATTGCAATGTATAATTGAATTTATTTCCTTATGGTGATATTCCATTGTCATTGAAAAAAAAGAATTAAAACCCAAGAAGATTCTAATGATTTTTAAATATTTGGTCAACTGAACAAATACAAGTTCTTTGAACATTTTGAGATTTATTTGAAAAAGCATCTGTTGTTTAAAAATTGTTTAAAAACTATGTCCAAAACTCATTGCCATAATTTTAAGTTGATTAATTTTAGGGAACTTTTTTTAATTTTTCTTTAAAATGTTTTTTTGTATTAACATGGGATCATATCTGATATAAATCGTAAATTGAAATTTATGTTATCGAAATATTGTTTTAAGTTTATTTTTGAGTAAAAAAAATGAAACTTAAAGCCAAAAATTATTTTAAATCTGAAAAATTATTTTAAACTTTTAATTTTATCCGTACAAAATTTTTAAATTTAATATTCTCCATAAATATTTTGTGATTGGAATTTAAATGGATGGGGATCACAAATTACTTTTAATAAAATTTTGATAATTTAAATTCTCCAATTTTGATGAGATTGTAAAATATATAAATATCTTATTGATCAAAGAAAGAGTCAAAATTTCAAAACAAATTAAATATGTTCAGGGGCAAAAGCAAAAAAAATAAAAAAATTTTTTTTTAAATATGGGAAAATAAAAAAATATTTTCCATAAAGATTTTCAAAAAACAGAAGTTTAAAAAATTATTTTGAGGTTCTGCAGAATTCTTTGTTTGGAATTTTTTTGTAAGTCAAAAAAAACAACAACTTTCCATTCCTTTTTGCTCTTGAAAATAAAAATTCTAATTAGATTTCCCATGCCATATATATTTTTGTTTGAATTCGACATAGTTTTCCTGGAAGATGGATTTTACAGAAATAGGAGACAAAGAAATATATATTTTCAAATATGGCACCTTTTAATGTTTAAATTTAGGGAAGATTAAAATCTATTGTTCGAGAATAAAAAATGATTTTTTAAATAAATTTCCAGATTCTTTTTCATATTAGTTAAAATATAAAAAAATCTAGGAAAAATTCTTTTAATTTTTTTTTGTTTGTTT